CGGTTCAATCCCCCAGCACCACATGCCAGCCAGCCCCGTCCCCTGGTGGGCTGAGCTGGCCACACACACACACACACACAAATAAATAAATAAAATTAAAAAAAAAAAAAAAGATTAAACTACAGCTACTCCTTTGATGAATAATTTTGAAAAAATATTTTGTATATCACCAAAATATTTACAAATTAATTAGAGGAGTTGAGATAGGTTCTTGCTATACATACACCCAGGCTAGTGATCTTCCTGCCCTTGCCTCCAAAGGAATTGAAATTATAAGCATGTACCATCATGCCTGCAAAAATAAATTCTATCTGGGTCTGGGGATACAGAACAGTAGAATACTGTACTTGTCTATAATGCATTAGATCCTGACCTCAATTCCCAGCACCACAAAAAAATTAGGTCTGAGTTTACTATAAAATAATCTACTAGAGTTGGGTATATAGCTCAGCAGTGCTATGCTTGCCTAGCAATCACAAGGTCCTGAGTTCAAGTCCTGAAGCCAAAAATCAATAAATAAAATAGCTAGGGATACAGCTCAGATGTGTAAGTGTCTGCCTGACAAGTGCAAGCCCCTAAGTTCAATTCGCAGTACACAACAACAGAAACACTAAAAAGTAAAATAAAATAATCTAAGAATACAGAGTACGGCTGAGCTAAAACAAAACCGATCATGACAACCACTAAGGAACACCACAGACAAACTACTACACTCTTCTACTTCTGTACTTAGAAATTTCCCACTTTTAAAACATATGTAATACATTATAATATTTATAATACATAATGCCAGTGCTTATTTTATATATTGCACACTAATTTTTTTTGAGGGAGGGTACCAGGGATTGAACCCCTGTGCTTGCCAGGCAGGCACTTGTTCTACTGAGCTATCTCCCTGGCCCCGCACACAAATATTAAATAGAAAGACTGACTAGAAATAAAAGCCAGACACACTAGCAAGGTAATTAAGGACATTACAGGTGTCTGGCCCCCAAAACAAGTCCTGTCTCAAAAAAGGCTTAAGGGCCCAGAGAGATAGCTCAGTACACTAAGCGCTTGCCCAGCAAGCACAGGATCCTGAGTCCATTCCCCAGTTCCACAAACAAAAGGGCTTAAAACACCAAGCCTTTCCAATGTAGGGAGAAAAAAAAAAAAAAACCTGCTTAATTTTCCAATATATCATCCGCTAAAACAGGGACAACAGCTTTGCTAATGAAATCTGATGGACCATGTTTCCAAAATACAATAATCTTTGAAAAGGGTAGGGTGTTTTCTTTCTTTCTTTCTTAACTTTTTTTTTTTTTTTTTTTT